TGTCATGAGGTGATGCTTTGTAATTCCTTAGGCATATTAGGGAAAATGGGTCATAAAAAAGAAATGGCCATCACCGGAAAAAATGGGACTCTAATAGTTTCTCAGAACATGGCTAAAACGTTGAGCATAACACTCTGGAACCCAGTTCAGTTAACCTACAGCAATGCTTGAGCTGCTCGGCCTTAAAAATACCCCACTCCCCCCTCTCGCGGCATGCCGATGCCTGCAGAAGAGATTCATGGTCGGATTCAAAAGCAAAAGCTATTTTGTAATGGACGATATGATACTCCGACGCGATACGATTAACGATAGGACGATGACTTCTCAACACGATACTCAGCTGACAATATGACTGAAAGTTTATTAACTTCGACCAAATAGTGCTATTATAACAGTCGTTCATATACTTTTCTAATAGAAAACAAAACAGCGTAAAAAGAAATTGTCAGCCTTTAGTATCATTAACCATGGTGAAAAGAAGTTACATTCCATGGGGCGAAAAAAACGTGCAAGCAAGGTTTACATTTTATAATGAAAATACGAACATATAAGTTGGGTTTTTAGGGATCGGTCATCCTTAACAAAAACGAAGATCTCAAGCTTGCCAAAAGGGCGGGTGTGACCAGCGTCAGGTAGATGTCTCATGAGCTCTGCAGTCATACACCCTCCCTTATTTTTCAGATACGTCAAAAAGAACTAGCCTTCCCCGATGTGGACGGCCAGGAGGTGTCAACCGCTGACGTGCTTTCAGTGGTATTAGACCCAATCAAACGTAACCTATCTTCCTCAGTTCTATCTTCTCTTTCGGCCTTACCTTATGACACTAATACTAAGCACCTAACACCTTCCTCAAACTCATTTTGCAACCGTTACCATCGAAACCTCATTCATAATCTCCTATGACCCCGCTATCGATTTCATATTGGAGCTTGCAACGTCCGAACTCTATGCCAAATCGGACAATACTCACCGATCACCAAAACTCTGGAACCCTGTGTCATGGACGTGTGCCGTGTCTCTGAAACACGTATACAGGACCTGAGCGTGGTTATTAAATTGACCTCATCCAGTCATAATATTGAATCTTCAAAATTTACCTTGCGACTATCCGGAAACCCAGTGACTAACTCTCGTGGACTCACTGGTGTACGCATAGCATTGAACCGTAGGACAGCCGTCTATGTGCTGTTCGACTGAAGGGATATGTTAGAACTAGGAAGGGTAGTGAAACCGACCGATGCCTGTTCTGTATCTCCACCTACGCACCCACTGACTGCAGTTCGGATGATGCAAAAAATGAATTCCATCACCAGTTACCAATTTTGCTACAGAAAACAAAACGTTGAGATGTAATCATAATGACAGGTGACATTAAGGCTCAAATAGGAAAGCTGAGCGAATTGTAAAGACACCTTCGGGGTATTTAGTAAATGCCATGCCAACGGGCCAACAACGATGATAGTCTGTTGCACTTTTGTTCAGACAATCATTTGTATCTCGGCAGCCCTAACTTTAGGCATAAGGAGAGGCATTGTCTCACATGGGGTCCGCCGACATCAAGCCACCGATGGACACAGATAAATTATATTACCCGTGGAGGAATGTCGCTGTTTATAGAGTGCGAAATTGGACTGCGATCACTCGCTATTACGGGCTAGTGTATGTCTGCGTCTCACTGGTCGCAGGAAACAAGTGACAGTGAAGCCTGTCTATGCTCGATTAGAAGACGAGGACCCCAGATATGTAGTTGACCAGGAGTTAGCTGAACATTTATCTGAGCGTGATAGTAATTCTTATACCAAGAAAACTTGTCATGGTATTAATTCTGCCGTAGAAACAGCGGTAAGGACAGTTAGTAACCTGCACCTGAAGGTTACCAAACGTCATTGGATTTCCGCTACGTCATCAAAACTGATTGACGTGAGAAAACTGATTCCAGCTGGCTGTGACCACGTTGAAGAGCGAAAACGACTCAAACGTAAGTTGATCAGGAGTCGTCGAGTTGGTCACGAGCAGTAGTGGGTGGCGAAAGCGGAAGAGAGATAGAGAAGGCATCAGCGTCCCAAAATACTTGGTAACTATTTGGGTTCATTAAGGATACTGGTAAGAAGGAATCGATAGTTATTGAAAACTTCGCCGAAAAGGATGGGACGCTGGTCGCCTCCTAAGGACAGGCGGCAGAACACTTGGAGGCATAGTTCATATGACCCTCGGCAACGTTTTAGTTGCCCAACATCCAGCTTGAAGCTGAATGGGAAGTGGATGTCGGTCCTCCAACTTTTTTTAAAGTCGAGAAGGCTGTATCGAACCTGAAGCGATGCAAATCGGGAAGACCTGACAGTTTGCTACTCGACGTTCTCAAGGATGGAGGTACGAAGTTGCAAATTAAGGTGACGGAAGTACTATGTAGTGTATGGCAACTTGAGCCGACCCACCTGTTTGCGAGGTCCTACGTTGATTTGTCAGTCAGCAGTGTATGGAAACCAGAGGGTGTATCGATCATATTTGCACCCTGAGACAAGTCCTGGAACACAGGCATACATACTGGCCAGTGACCAACACACTCCATATTTCTTGACCTGAAGGCGGCATGTGACTCAACAGTGAGGTGTTGTGGCAGTGTCTGATTCTGAAAGGAGTATCGAGCAAGTATGTAACGCAAATCAAAGCTCTCCACTTGAACTCACAGCCATGTCAGGGTTTATGAAGAGTTGTTATGTGAATTGACGACAGGGATGCCCATGGACACCGTTCCTATTTATCTTTCGTCATTGACGCACTAATAGACATAACCTCATATATGTCTGACTTCACGGGGATTGACCTGTCCCTTAGAGATCATGTGATTGGCTTAAAGTATGCATACGATGTTGTCATACTAGGTGAAGACGCTGACGAAATTAAGGGTCTTATGAACGTGTTGAGCAGAAATCTGAGTATGTTTGGCTGGCATGCGTTTCGGTGATACCTCTCAAATGTAAGCTGATGCTCTAGAACTGGTGTGCCGCAAGTACTCACAGTTTAATGATAAGTAGTGAGGTGGTGGAATACGTCGACCACTGCACTTACTTGGGGAGTTGTATCAGCTTGAGCGGGCTGGTTTCTGAGGGCTCCTCAGCTTGGATACAGAAGTGTCGTTCGGTATTTACCGACTTCCGTCATTTTTAGCGCGCATGAGGTATCCGGCTACCTTTCAAAGGAGTTCGTTATGCATTAAACAGCTGTGATACTTGGTCATCGAAACTGGACACGAAAACCCTGCAACTTCATGATCATGGATCTAGCTGTGGTATTTTTCACATGTTAAGGAATCATCACATGAGGAACGTCGAGGTTAGATGAAGGGTACCAGGCAAAGAAGGCAAGTTATTCGATTCAGTTGTGAACCTTCATCGACCAAGGTGACTTGGCCGGAGGACTGGTCTTCAGCGGTACCGCGGCTAACAATAGAGAGTGAAGTGGTTGAGTGTATTGACCACTTCACTTACCTGGGAAGTAGGATCGACCCCGGTGGGTTAGTTGCCGATGAGATTTCTGCACGGATACAAAAGGCTCGATTGACTTTTGCCAATTTGCGCCACCTGTGTCGCCGCCGTGATATTCGTTTGTCTATTAAGGGTGGCGTGTACTGCACAGCAGTCCGCTCTGTTCTACTGCATGGCTGTGAAACATGGCCATTGAAAGTGGAGGATACAAAAAAGCTTCAGGTGTTTGACCACCGTTGCCTTCGTAATATAGGACGTATTCCGTGGTGTCACCATGTGAGTAATGCAGAAGTCAGGTGTAGTTTTGGGGAGTAGAGGTAAGTCAGTTGACGAGGTTATGAACCTTCATCGACTGAGATGGTTGGGACACGTATTACGTATGCCTAGTCACCGATTGCCTTGTCACACAATGTTGGCTGAGGTGGGTCCAGGCTGGAAAGAGGCTCGAGGTGGCCAGACTAAAACATGGCACCAATGTATGAAGTCTCTGACTGTTGGTTTAAGCCATGTAGGACGATGCAGACTAGGTGGTTGGGATCGGCGGGACGAGAGGAACCAATGGTTGGAGACCCTAGGTGATATGGTTCAGAACCGAAGTCAGTGGCGCAGATGTATACACACATTATCCTCATCTTAACAACGCTATACCGAATCTCACTATTTTGTCACTCCTCTTTCCTTTCTTCTCGTACTTTATGTTTCTTTTGACTGCATTCACTTATCTTCATCCTTCACCTCACTACCTTTTTACTTGATGTGCTGATATGAGGTGTGGCAACTCGGACCGTTACGCAGTAATGCCTGGTCCTATGTTGATAATGATGATGATGATGAAGGTGACTTGGAGATGTACTGTGCATACTGAACCCCCGTCCACCTCAAAGTTCAGTGTTACCCGAATGAATGGGGCTGCAGGAAAGCTCGTAGGTAGCAGACTAAGGAATGGTATGAGTCCATGATGTATCTCAGGTTTTGTCTTAGCCGTATTGGAAGGTGTAAACTGGCTTGTTGGGATCCTCCATGTGATGGGAATCACTGGTTGGAGGAGATCTTTGGTGACATGACAGAAAACCGATCACAATGTCGCTGATCTATTCACTCTTTGTCGTCTTAAGTTTGACAACTTCGACTGACCATTTTTGAATTCCTCTTTCTATACACCTTTGTTCACTTTCACATCGGTCTCTTTCTACCCATTTGTTCACTTCATGCAACTGTGAAGCTTGACAACTTGAACCGATTTATTAGTGTGCGAGGTTCTTCTTTGGTTTAGTCTGTGTAACCATTTTTGCAGCAATTTCTTCGGGCGTTACCTTCAGATGAGTGGTGGTTAAACTAGATTTCGATATTCCATCTCTACTTAGTTATGGCGGAGGTCGGACTCACGTAACTATGTTACAGGTTTTCTGCACACTGATTTGTGTGATTTTGTAGTCTGTATTACTTGGTCACATTTTGTTCGTCAATTTTATTTGGAAATTATCTTTTGTAATACTGCTCAACTGTGCTTTATAGAATATTTATGGTATCAATAACTCAGCGGACACTTACTATGGGACCCTTTTCTCGCATTTATCCTATGGAATGGGCGAAGGCAATGCGTCCAACTCTCCTACTACTCCGAATGCAGAAAGTGCAGCTGCCGCTGCTTTGGCAGCAGCGGCTTCTGGAAGGAACAACTGGTCTAACGCGGATGGTTATAGTGCCGTTTCGAACATAATGACTGGTATGCGTGCACATCCTTCATCAATGACGAGTTGCTCGAACTCTGGGGATTTGTCAGAGTCTTCGTGTGGCATTCCATCCAGTTCTTTGGCGTCTCCTTATGCTGCAACTTTGTTAGCTGCAGTAGCTGCCGCTGCCGCTGCAGCTTATCCACTTCCTCAGGGTGCTGCAAGTACAGTTCCTGCTCCAACAGGGCGACAGTTTCTGCCAAATGCTTCGATGAATAACAGGGCGGCTGACTTCACAACTATGTATTACGGCTCTTCGCCAAGACCATCATCTGTCACTACAGCAAACCAACTTGGCGGACTTCTGGGTAATCTACCTAGTTGGCCCTTCACAGTTCCTCCAGCTCAGTATCCAAACCATTCATTTATAGAAAGATCTGGCGGTGCAGTTGTTCCGCTTGATGGTTGGACTTCTTCTAATGGACAGCAGTTGACCTTGTCACCTGCTTGTGGTGAAGCTGATTCGATCAACCACTTCGGTCAAGGTCCTACTGAAGCAAACGTGTTATCGAAGGATTCACATACTTATTACACCACATCTAATATGCGGGATGCTGTCTTTGCAGCACCAGTGTCTTATTCTCAACAACAGCATCAAATAAATGCAGACGATCCTGGTGTTTCATTCATTTATCCTCATCTAAATGCAAAGCCGGTATATCCGTTCCCATCTCATGTAACTCAGTCACATCTCGTGAATGGATTGCCTGGCGGTGCCTCAAATGTATTAGATCCATATGTTTCTGTAAATCAACACCAAAAAATCCCACAACTGGTCAATGAATTTAATCGGCTTAATGTTTGTCAAAGTATCGATATAGCAAACCGTAATGATAATGGAGTAAATCATTCTCATTCCCCTTTCTATGAAGGCTCAGTTGTTGGGAATGGGAATAATGTACAGCCAAAAAATACTTCATACACACAGGCACAGTGGTGTCATAGAAAAGAAAATAATGGAGTAAGTCAGTATGATTACATCATCTTATGTATTGTTTTTATCCGTGTTTATGATCATTTTAACGAATATTTGCTCTTTTTTCGTAAATTAAGAGCATTTTCGCCTAGACACTTGTTTATCGTGCCAATTTTCATTACGATCGTCAATACTATTTGTAGAAGTCCTCATGCAGAGCTTTTAGTACACTTCTTTATGGTCGTTATCATACACCGTGCAAAATACACCGCGTGTATTGACTTCTAGAATGCTAAGTTTTTTACTGTTGTTCAAGACTGTTTACAAGTCCTGCTAAAGAGTTGACCTCATAGTTTCCCAATATATTAGGTGCCGAGTGGAAAGTTGACATAAGGTATGTTTGTATAAATCAGCTTGTCTGAAATAAATAAGTGATTTCAATGTTTTGTACAAAAGTCTGGTTTGAGCTTCTTATTTCCCGAAGAAGCCCGCACCAGACTTCTGAACAAAACGTTGGAATTATTTCTTTCTTCAAGATTGGCCTACATTTCGTGAGTAAACAGGTTTCTAAACTATTCAGACAATCATTTTCATAATTTTGAAGTGCATATCTTATATTGTCTCCTAAAACTCGCATCTGTAGTGGTCGCTATTGGGAATTTCATGAATCTCCACATGTTCCCTTTTGTAATTTTCATCAGTTTTGTTTGGTTTAATGCCTGTGTTAGAGGATTTCCATGGTTAACTTACTGGAGTTTCATAGGGTTTTTTTGTTACTTAATTATTGAGTTCAAAATAATACTGCTTAAGTCTGTATCCGGAACATACCGAGATTTACAGCAGAATCATGAGCGAATAAGTTGTGAGGTATACCAGGTTTCAACCGATCGAAATTCCTACTTATTTCCTCTATACAATCATCTGAATGTAAGCAGCAAACAGTATTTTGTTTCTGATGTTCACTCAGTTCTTCAGAAAATAGAGAAGTCGGAATATGCACAAAATACGATCACCTACTTGCATGTACGATGACCTTTGCTACTTTCATACCTTTTTAAAGGCATATTCTCTGCTTATTTCATCTCTTCAGCCAATGTGATATTTACATGTATGATCATGTGCCTTTTTCTCAAAACTCCCAAACAAAATTACTCATTGTGATAGGTTTCAGGGATTTAGGGCTTCTCTGAAGGATCTGGAAAATCTTGTTGCACTCTATAACGGTTTCGATCGTATTTTTGTGTCAATATAAGCTCAAATGTGTCTCTATGTGCATTTTATGTAGACCTAGAAGGTTCCGATTGCCACGGGTTTATGTTTGTATGTGGAAGTATATCGTGTGAAACTATATTATTATTAATACTGGGAAACGTGTGTAAATTTAAACTCATCTTACAGCCTGTATGCGCATGCTTTTACCATATTGTAACTGGGTCGGTAAGATGAACACTTCAGAAAGCATACCAAAGAACCAGTATATGACTGTTATAAAGAAGACGGTGCGCAAAACTTACAGAATATGCTGTTCAGTCAATGAAATTCTAACCATGTCCAATGCTTGCTTACGAATTCGATAACTATTAACCCATCATGACTCAATGGGGTTACCTTATGAAGCATAGTCGAATGACTATGGAGATATAGAACTACTGGCCAAGTTCACTGTATTTATCACTTTGGATAAAATGATTACTCATTTATGCACAAAAGATGTGACGTAACTGGAGTGTTCTTGCAAAATAGAAACTAGCTGACCAAAGACCATTTCAAAGCTCAGTAGTTCACTGGAAAAAATCCACTGATCGTACGGTTACATTTATGTCCACTGTAACAGAAAAAGCCTAATTATGTGTGTTGAACTTAAGAGGTTAACGTGCTTTAAATTTTGAATTTTGCATGTAAACGTTATCACTGGAAGAGGATAAGTGTAATGATGATAATGAGAGGATACATTAAGTTCTGTCACTAGTATATTTAAGTTTGTTAACAATAAATGTGAATTTTGATGTTATTTGTAGATTAATAGCGCGCCTTCTATGGACCAATCAGAAAAGGCATCTAGATCACAACCTAGTTCAAGTGGTTATCCAGCAAATAGACTGACTACTTCATCTAACAATAGGTCTGCACAACCACCTGTTACTACATCCGTCAATAATTCACCACGCACTAAGACTTGGGCCAATATAGCTGGACAACCACCTAAGGGCTCAGCTGCAGTTCTTCAAAACTCTGTCGGATGGTCTACAAAAAGATCTCAACCGCATAATTTGTCTGCTACAAACAGGTCTTTTCAAACTACTGGGAGCTATCCGGCTGGCAGGACTAACTCCTTAATAACAAGTGCACCTAGCAGTAATGGACATGTAACACACCAGGAGAAAGCAAACGCAGGTGAAAAAGGAAGTTTACGTTCTTTGACGGAATCTAATTCTGAAATGAATAGTACACAAGTAAACAATGATGACCATTCTACTAATACATCGACATCTGCTCTGTTATCTTCAGACGAGTCTGCACAGGCCTTTCAACGTGAATCAGAAGCATTGCATCAGCGTTTAGCCAAAGTGATAAATCCGACTAACTTTGACACTCATATAGAAAAAGCTCGGTTTTTCGTGATCAAATCGTTTTCTGAAGATGATATACACCGGTCTATTAAATATTCTATCTGGTGTTCAACAGAATTGGGGAATAAGAAACTGGATACAGCTTTTGCAGAGGCCAATCATGCATATCCAATATATCTGTTTTTCTCAGTTAATGGATCTGGACACTTTTGTGGTATGGCAGAAATGGTTTCTCGAGTTGACTATAATGCTAGAGCTAGTGTTTGGGCTCAAGATAAGTGGCAGGGTAAATTTTCAGTCCGATGGATATTTGTAAAAGATGTACCCAATACTGCATTAAGACATATTCGTATTGAAACCAATGATAACAAACCCGTAACTCATTCACGTGACACTACAGAACTCCCATTAGAACGAGGTCGACAAGTCATGGAAGTACTTGCCACATATTCACATACATTGTCTATCTTCGATGATTTCTTTTATTATGATCAACGTGAAAGGCAAGAGGTAAGTTAGGTAGTTTCATCTAGTTGATAATAATAAATGCTACACTACACAATACATTATGCTTCTACTCCTTGTTTCCATACTAGATTGGATGAGGATTGAAATAGAAGTTATACTTCGTTTTAAGAGTATAAACTTAGTGCTAATCAACTGGAAATGTAGTATGCAGCAATTTTTCGGCTTCTCGTGGCTTCCTCATAGTGACGTATAAATACGCGTACTAGGAACGACGCATGTTCAAAGTTTAAGGATGTCAAAAAGAGTGATATTTTGTCACCGAATCTGTCTAAATCATATGGAGCAGCACTTATTCGTATCTATCAAGCTATAGCCCCCTAGGTTTATATTTGGTCCTAAACAGAAAATTTCGAATTTCACAATGAAAATTGAAGAGGCTATTGTCGTTATGATTCTTTCTATTCCTCGGTTTAAATCTATTTGGAAGTTGTTAAACCAATATGTAAATAAATGTTATAATTCAAATAGCATAACATTACTTATCTACGAACCAGTCCATTTGTTGATATTGTTACTGAACTAGTCAATATCAACATGGGACCAGGGGTTAATGCACAGCGGTCCGAGTTTCAGGTGATGAAACTAAGAAAGTATGGTTAGACCGGCTGCAGACGTAACCCATCTTCCTGGGTTTGATTTACTGCTAGTAATTAAATTCAAATAAATTGTCCATCAATACATTACTGAATTAATTATAGTGATTCTGTTAGGGATGCTTAATCCCTAAGAAAAACAAACTTATAATATGTGTATATAATCATTGTAAAATATGAACCTTATCTTCGAATCATGCAACGTTACTTACTTTTAACACCGGTTAAGATACTAAACACTGATTGGTCCATTTTGCACTTTTTCAAAAATGGACTAATCAGCGTTTAGTGTCCTAACCCACGGTAAAAAAGATCATTGCATGGTGCAAAAAGGGCGTGAAAATAAGATTTCATCTTCACAATGATAACATATACATAAGTTGGTTTTTCTCAGGGATTAGGCATCTCCAACAGATCCTAGTTATCTGTACTCAAATAACTTAATCTAAACATCTACATATTTATGTTTTGAGCAACCTGTCACGATAGCTGTACTCGACTGTGAATCGGATCATTTATTTGACCAGCTGTTCTACTATGATCATTGGGAGTGGGTTTGAACACGAGACTTGAGTTTAAGGCAAAGTATTTTCTAAGACTGTTCTTGAAAGCCGAGATTAATATGTAGCATTTAAAATCTGAAATTTACTTATTATAGTGAATAGCACTAACTAGTGGTTCCTTAAATTTTCAGCTGTATTACTTCTAGTCATATGGTCTTACTAATAAAGCAAAGACATATTGTGTTAAAGACAGTTGCTAGCCTACACCTGAAGGTTACCAAACGTCATTGGATTTCCGCTACGTCATCAAAACTGATTGACGTGAGAAAACTGATTCCAGCTGGCTGTGACCACGTTGAAGAGCGAAAACGACTCAAACGTAAGTTGATCAGGAGTCGTCGAGTTGGTCACGAGCAGTAGTGGGTGGCGAAAGCGGAAGAGAGATAGAGAAGGCATCAGCGTCCCAAAATACTTGGTAACTATTTGGGTTCATTAAGGATACTGGTAAGAAGGAATCGATAGTTATTGAAAACTTCGCCGAAAAGGATGGGACGCTGGTCGCCTCCTAAGGACAGGCGGCAGAACACTTGGAGGCATAGTTCATCTGACCGACCGATAGCTGCTACCTTGACGTGGTGGTCGGGCTTGCATATCACAATGACCCAACAATCTATGTTGGTGGAACACTTGTTCCCTCGAGGTCCTACCCTTCCAGAAAGGTCTATAGGATAGTAGTTAGACGGAAAGCAGTTACCGTTGTGGTGTAAATTACTACACTATGGTGGGAGTCTGAGGGCGAAGTCGTACTGCTGCTAGCTGGATGGGGTGTGACAGCAGTAAGGTGTTTCCCTTGGATGACCAGCAGTGCCATGCTGATGCTGCCTTCTCAGTGGAAGGGGGGGGTTAGAAAAGGTCGGCCCCAAAAATAACACACTCCACCACGCCCCACGGTCTGCCGGGCCGGCGGTGTTGGTTCACTTGTCGTTTCCTTTCGACCATCCGGCCCCAAAAATACAAAAGTTCAAAATAATCATACTCAAAAGGCTGGGTGTGACAGGCCTCAAGCAGATGTCCGATGGGCTCTGCGGTCACACAAATCTCTTTCAGGTACCTTAAGAAGAAATAGCCTTCCACGGTGTGGGCAGCCGGGAAGTGTCAACCGCCCTCACAACTCTGTCAGCACCCAAGTTTCTTCTGACTGCTATCCTCCTCCTCCATCATTACCTTCTAATCTTCCTTCACGTCTCTTAATTAATGATGCTGCATCATCTTCAATTTCTCCTACCTCTGCAGCCTTCGACAACGATCTGAGTCCACAGAACAGCATCCCTGGTCTCCTTAAACCACGCTCCAAATTACATATTGGAGCCTTCAATGTCCGCACCCTCCGTCAAATTGGCCAACAGGCTTCGTTGGCAAAGACTCTAGCAACTCGGGCCATGGATGTGTGCTGTGTTTGTGAGACACGCATACAGGACCCAAGTGTGGTTATTCACCTGACCTCTCCTGACCAATCTGGTGAATCTGCAAAATTCACCCTTCGAGTTTCTGGAGATTCGATAGCTAGCTCTCGTGGTCTTGCAGGTGTAGGTATAGCATTAAGCACCAGGGCAGAAAACTCACTACTAGACTGGATCCCAGTTGATAGTCGCCTCTGCGCTATGAGGCTGAACGGCACAGTGAGAACTAAAAGGAATAGTGAGACTCGCCGTTGTCTCTTTGTAATCTCTGCTTACGCACCCACTGACTGTAGTTCGGATGAAGTGAAGGACGAGTTCTACCATAAACTGTCTAACCTCCTCTCGAAAGCCAAACGTTCGGACGTAGTGGTTGTTGCAGGTGACCTCAACGCACAGGTGGGTAGACTGAGTGAGGCAGAAAGGCACTTAGGTGGCACTTTCGGAATCCCAGCTGAACGTACAGATAACGGTGATCGCCTATTACAACTATGCTCAGATAACCGCCTATTTTTAGCCAGCACAAATTTCAGACATAAAGAAAGGCACTGTCTGACCTGGCGTCCACCGAGCTCGACTCAGCGATGGACACAGATAGACCACATTGCTATTAGTCATCGCTGGAGAGGATCGGTGGAAGACTGCCGCTCCTTCTGGAGTACGTGTTTGGACAGCGATCATGCGTTGGTCCGAGCACGTATATGCCTGCGTCTCAATGGACGTAGAAAAAATTTGGCAACAAAACCACTACGAGTTCTGCTGGACAACGAAAACACCAAAGCCGTGTTCAGTGAGAAGTTGGCTAGGCAGTTATCGGAACAAAAGACTGTCACTCATCCAGAAGAAGCTTGGTGCCATCTTCAGTCTACTGTAAAAGCAGCACTGGAGACTGTAGCCGACTCCAAGATAATGGCTAAAAAGAGCCAGTGGATATCAGCAGCTTCTTCCAAACTAATGGATGCACGTGAATGCATCCCTGCAGGCTCTGAGTACAATGAAGAGCGAGCGCAACTTAAAAATAAACTGACGAAAAGTCTGCGCAACGATCGTGAACAGTGGTGGGCAGCAAAGGCTAAAGAGATGGAAAAGGCAGCGGCGATCGGTAACAGTAGACAGTTATTTAGACTTATTAAGGAGACTGGGGGGAAATGGTCAACAACAGTTAGTGAGGTTATAGCGGAGAAGGACGGATCTGCGATTCACTCGCAGGGAAGGCGACTGGGACGATGGGCAGAACACTTTGAGGAACAGTTTAACTGGCCTCCAGCCACCATTGCGCTGCCCGCTATCCAGTCGGACCCTGAATGGGACATAGAGACAGGTCCCCCAACACTAGAAGAAGTTGAGAAAGCGGTAGGTAGCCTGAAACGGGGAAGGGCAGCAGGACCAGACGGACTACCTGCTGAGGTATACAAGAATGGTGGTAGAGTTCTCTTAGTCAGGCTAACGGAAGTGTTAGCCAGTATATGGGAATCAAATACGATCCCCTCCGACTGGTCTAAGTCACTGATCATCCCAGTCTTCAAGAAAGGCGAGAAGTCCTCTTGTGATAACCACAGAGGAATCAGCCTGAACATAGTGTCTAAGATCCTAAGTTCTATAATTCTCCGACGCCTGAGTGGAGCTCGGGAACAGCAAGCCCGAGAAAACCAGGCAGGCTTTAGACCTGGCCGTGGATGTATCGACCAAATATTCACACTGCGCCAGGTCCTGGAACATAGGCATGCTTACAGACGCCCGACAATAGCTGTATTTCTCGACCTGAAGGCGGCATTTGACTCCGTTGATCGAGAAGTCTTATGGCAGTGTCTGTCACTGAAAGGCGTGCCTAGTAAGTACATCACCTTATTGAAAGCTCTCTACTCGAACACTTGTGGGCATGTTAGAGCCTATGGTGAGTTGTCCAGGGAGCTATACTCATCAAGTGGTGTCCGTCAAGGATGCCCACTATCCCCATTCTTATTTAATTTTATCATAGATATTCTTATGGAGGTTTCCCTCTCGTCACCTAATTACAAAGACGTTGACCGAATCACAGGTGAATTTTCCTTAGATCTAGAATATGCAGATGACATAGTCCTGTTAGGTGAAGACGCTGACAAGATGCAGAGTCTTCTGAACACTTTGAGTGGGAATTTGAGAATGTTTGGGATGCGATTTTCACCACCCAAATGCAAATTTTTGCTCCAGGACTGGTCTTCAGCGGTACCGCGGTTAACAATAGAGAGTGAAGTGGTTGAGTGTGTTGACCACTTCACTTACCTGGGAAGTAGGATCAACCCGGTGGGTTAGTTGCCGATGAGATTTCTGCACGGATACAAAAGGCTCGATTGGCTTTTGCCAATTTGCGCCACCTATGGCGCCGCCGTGATATTCGTTTGTCTATTAAGGGTCGCGTGTACTGCACAGCAGTCCGCTCTGTTCTACTGTATGGCTGTGAAACATGGCCATTGAAAGTGGAAGACACAAAAAGGTTCAGGTGTTTGACCACCGTTGCCTTCGTAGTATAGGACGTATTCCGTGGTGTCACCATGTGAGTAATGCAGAAGTTAGGTGTAGAGTTTTAGGGAGAAGAGGTAAGTCAGTCGACGAGGTTGTGAACCTTCATCGACTGAGATGGTTGGGACACGTACTACGTATGCCTAGTCACCGATTGCCTCGTCACACAATGTTGGCTGAGGTGGGTTCAGGCTGGAAAAAGGCCCGAGGTGGCCAGACTAAAACATGGCACCAATGTATGAAGTCTCTGACTGTTGGTTTAAGCCATGTAGGACGATGCAGACTAGGTGGTTGGGGTCGGCGGGACAAGAGGAACCAGTGGTTGGAGACCCTAGGTGATATGGCTCAGAACCGAAGTCAGTGGCGCAGATGTATACACACATTATCCTCATCTTAACAACGCTATACCGAATCTCACTATTTTGTCACTCCTCTTTCCTTTCTTCTCGTACTTTATATTTCTTTTGACTGCATTCACTTATCTTCATCCTTCACCTCACTACCTTTTTACTTGATGTGCTGATATGAGGTGTGGCAACTCGGACCGTTACGCAGTAATGCCTGGTCCTATGTTGATAATGATAATGATCATCTGATCCTCGGCAACGTTTTAGTTGCCCAACATCCAGCTTGAAGCTGAATGGGAAGTGGATGTCGGTCCTCCAACTTTTTTTAAAGTCGAGAAGGCTGTATCGAACCTGAAGCGATGCAAATCGGGAAGACCTGACAGTTTGCTACTCGACGTTCTCAAGGATGGAGGTACGAAGTTGCAAATTAAGGTGACGGAAGTACTATGTAGTGTATGGCAACTTGAGCCGACCCACCTGTTTGCGAGGTCCTACGTTGATTTGTCAGTCAGCAGTGTATGGAAACCAGAGGGTGTATCGATCATATTTGCACCCTGAGACAAGTCCTGGAACACAGGCATACATACTGGCCAGTGACCAACACACTCCATATTTCTTGACCTGAAGGCGGCATGTGACTCAACAGTGAGGTGTTGTGGCAGTGTCTGATTCTGAAAGGAGTATCGAGCAAGTATGTAACGCAAATCAAAGCTCTCCACTTGAACTCACAGCCATGTCAGGGTTTATGAAGAGTTGTTATGTGAATTGACGACAGGGATGCCCATGGACACCGTTCCTATTTATCTTTCGTCATTGACGCACTAATAGACATAACCTCATATATGTCTGACTTCACGGGGATTGACCTGTCCCTTAGAGATCATGTGATTGGCTTAAAGTATGCATACGATGTTGTCATACTAGGTGAAGACGCTGACGAAATTAAGGGTCTTGTGAACGTGTTGAGCAGAAATCTGAGTATGTTTGGCTGGCATGCGTTTCGGTGATACCTCTCAAATGTAAGCTGATGCTCTAGAACTGGTGTGCCGCAAGTACTCACAGTTTAATGATAAGTAGTGAGGTGGTGGAATACGTCGACCACTGCACTTACTTGGGGAGTTGTATCAGCTTGAGCGGGCTGGTTTCTGAGGGCTCCTCAGCTTGGATACAGAAGTGTCGTTCGGTATTTACCGACTTCCGTCATTTTTAGCGCGCATGAGGTATCCGGCTACCTTTCAAAGGAGTTCGTTATGCATTAAACAGCTGTGATACTTGGTCATCGAAACTGGACACGAAAACCCTGCAACTTCATGATCATGGATCTAGCTGTGGTATTTTTCACATGTTAAGGAATCATCACATGAGGAACGTCGAGGTTAGATGAAGGGTACCAGGCAAAGAAGGCAAGTTATTCGATTCAGTTGTGAACCTTCATCGACCAAGGTGACTTGGAGATGTACTGTGCATACTGAACCCCCGTCCACCTCAAAGTGCAGTGTTACCGGAATGAATGGGGCTGCAGGAAAGCTCGTAGGTAGCAGACTAAGGAATGGCATGAGTCCATGATGTGTCTGAGGTTTAGTCTTAGCCGTATTAGAAGGTGTAAACTGGTTACATATCTGACTTTCCATCAAAGACGAGTATACCGCACTTCAGTCCGTTCCGCCCTCTTATTACTGCTTTGAGACGTAGCTGTTGAAGGTAGAAGACATGAAACGAATACAGGCTTTGATCATCGGTGTCTTCGTAGCATTGCTCACGTTTGGTGGTATCACCGTGTGAGCAGTGTTGAAGTCAGGCGAAGGGTAGTAAGCAAAACAGGGAAGTCGATGGATAAGGTTGTGAACTTAAGTCGACTGAAATGGCTTAGACATATGCTGTACATACTGATCCATTGCCAACCTCGACTTTCGATGGTAGGTTAAGTTGAATTATGCTAGGAAGAGGGTTCAGGGTGGCCAGATCTAATGCGGAAGCAGTCCATGAAGCTTTTTTTATGTTAGTCTGAGTTGTGGTCGCCAAGACGACATAAATCAGTGGTTGAGGATTCTCGGTGACATTGCTAAAGTCTTCTAAAGCTTTAATATTTGAAGTGAACTTCATATTCTGCTTATTTGTTTTCTGACGCTACTTTTTCTTTTTTGGTATCACTTTCTGTGCACCTGTTCTTTGTATACATACTACTGTGATGTGTTGGGACTTGAGCCGATGCAACCTGTGTGCGAGTTTCTACGTTGGTTTTGTCAGTCATTCTTAATTTGTCCAGATTTTTTCTTTCAAGATGTTGATTTTGTACTGAATACGCTTACTGTTCACTTTGTCCGTGAGATTGCCCTTCCAACCAGTCGTTCGTCATTTCAAACCTTGTTTTACCTACTAATTTCTTGACAACCAGGAGGTTTGAGTTGCCACTATGATAAATGTGCCTCACTGCCGATTGCCCATGTTTACTAATCAAATTTCGATTCGATTTGTTTGCTTCAAAAGCTTTTAAACGGCTACGATGTACTTCTAATTCGTACTTATCATTTAGGGCTAATTCCGAAACGTGTCAATTTGGGAAATAATTTTGGTTCCGTAGCATATAAACAGGAACACCAATTGGATTGATGACAGCACGTAAACATTCGCCTTTGAACCGAAGAGCGTGTAGTAAAAATGACTTTATGTATGCGGAGGTTTATAGGGATTTTATTTGTTGGATATTGTTGTAGTATCGTTGAAAACCTAGGGACACTGGACAGATGTTTCGTCCTAGTATGGGACTCCCCAAAAGTATGCACCCACAGGATGTTCATGTCTCATGGCAAATGCGTTAGCCATCTATCCACTAGTTTGTAGCTCAGTGGTTCACAGTTTCCTACTTCTGTCGATTCGCGATATAGCACGACTATAACCCAAGGTCATTGGTTTGCATCCTCTTCACTTCCGACTGGTTAAGGCCCCAGGTAATGACTCATTGTTACTTCGGAACGTCTTTCTTGAAGCGTGTAACTAGTGAGCACTATACGGTAACTTAGCCGACCACTGCTCCTAGGTTTCTAATAGTTCTCCAACTGATGTCAGTTCGTGACGAACACTATCTCAAAAATACATAATCCTTCTCCATAATCTCTTGTAGCTTACATGTTATAGTCTTACGATGCATTCTCATACGTAGCTTCCCAACTATCTTCATCATCTTTTTTGTTTTACAGGGATTCCGTCGTAAAGAATTTAGTTCTCGACGAGGTTAGTTTAAAGACGACTAATTCATGCTAAGCGAATATTAGGTCGTGGATTTCTTGGCTTCACATTCGTTAGAAACATGTGCTACCTGAGTAATAAAACTGAACGGTCTGAACATTGCACCTTTCATCTTTCTTTACAGTTTTCTTTTTTTTTTGAAATCAGTGGTAGCTTCTGAATGACTGGATGAATTAGACTTCCTGCCCTCATATTCACATTTATAAGAGATAAACGAGCTTATTTAATTTACTATGAAATTCTTTAGTTATATATTCACTTATCTAATCATGGTATGTAGCCTCAGGATATTAGCTGATAAAATTTATCCTTGTCCTTCTAACCAAGTTCCAGTCACCGAGATGAACCTGTTCTACAGGTTGTGATTAGGCAAGAAATAAAGCTACCTGTGAATGTAGCTCCGTATATTATGATGTAATGCATGTACGTCTTTCTTCCATTGTGCAAGCAATCATGTTGACCATTTGCAATTTATAAAAACAATTTCATCTTTATATAATATATCACTTATTCTCTTTCCTCATTTCGTTTGTAAAACGCTCCTGAGACTACTGTTTTAACGATTCTTTCACTCATTACATAGGAGGTAAATGAACAGCAGTATTTACATCCTTTGCCAATTTAATAGTCGGTATTGTGTGAGACAGTATATTTGTTTTAAAAAAATCTTTCAACCAACAACTTGTTTTCTGTTCAGTTCTAATGAGTAACGTATATTTGTCTGTCGGCAAAACTTTAATGTATCTATCACTCTAGATGTCAGTAGTTGCTGCTACTTGAAGAATCACTAATAAAAAGGAAACATTTTATGATACCTGCTAGCCTACATTCATAGGAAACTGTGAAATAATTACAATAAAACGACAATATTCATTTCATTTATTTACTAATCACCCTACTCATGAACATAGACCACAATCATCCAATATTGTTCTTGCTCTAATTTCGAATTCCCTCAGAAACGTATACCATGTTGCGTCAAACTTCCAAATGCTCTGTCAATGTTATTTTAACTTGATTTCTTCGCACCTAGTTATCATTGTAGTGTTTTTAAACCTTTTTTTGTCAAGTTATTCTTTTTATTGATTATTATCAATATTAATAAACGTGATGGAAATATCAGAATGTAAAGGTAGATCAGTGGGTGGGTAGGTTCATTTTTAAACATTAGTTAAAATGACAAATGTCCATTGTGAAAGCAATCCTTATTTCCTGTTGCCTGGATGAAATATCTTTCAATCCCATTGTTTTGAGTAGTAACTTCCGACTCAGCGTTTTGTTTTGTTATCTGGATATTGTCGCAAATACGTGGATCGGTAGTGTGATGTTCCCATAGAAAAATGGACATCAGAATGTTTTCGGATAATAGTCGATTAGCTAAAAACAGTGGATCTAAATAAGATGACAGCTGTTCCACTGATTTCGGGCCGATACAATTAGCATTGTCATTTATTGTCCGTTCTTATTTCTCACTGTATTAGTAACCATGTCGAGATTTTTCACACAGTGCGGATCGCAGACTAAAACCTAGCTTTGCCGTAAACATAACGCTGATGAATAAACACTAATGTTCGAGGTAATGTTACTTTATTGAAATAGCCGTAAAACGTTTTCGAGTATACTCGCACAGATCACATTAGGCCTTCCCAAACTCACAGTGATGGGAGTAATTGACTGGGGTGTGTTAATTAGTTTCATTACTATCTGCGTCTCCACTAAGCGAAATGAATTGTATGAAATTCGCTGCGATTGAAGCATTATCTGGTATTTTGTTGAACTGGTCAAATTTCAGTCGTTGTACTGCAATATATCGGCGCTTCAGACGGGCAAGGCTACCTTCAGTGTATATTGTGTCGGGATTTTTAATTTTTAAAGCTATGTCTTGGTTATGTGCACTGTAAAAGCGTTCAGGTAGATTAATGGATAGCGAACCAAGAGCTTGTTTATGAAGTATGTGGTCTACGATTTGCTGCGTGACATATTCCAGATTCTGAAAGTAAAAAAACAATGCCAATTTTTGAAATGAAAAAGCCGCAACACGTATTACAGGAGGTTGCAAAAGTTGTGAACAAAAGGATAATGAAAGATAATGACGAGTCCATTCACTCACCTTACATGAAAAAATGTAACCAAACAGTAAAGTTTGTGAGGTAGTTTCATAGTAAGCGTATTGAAAAGACGTGTTCTATTGTCAGTGACCGAGTGAAACTAAAATAACCTAGTAGGTCTCTTCATCTTGTAGAAAAATTCTTCCTAGTAGAAATGTATAAAAAACTTAATCACTTTATTCGTTGCTACGGCAGTCTCTAGAGTCAACTCAACCAGTCGCTTACTAACTTATTAATCTGTTGTTGGTTAACGTTCCTAATGTGTAACCACATATTGGCTTTTTATCTGCACAGATAATCCAATCAAGTCTTAAGATAAGCTAAGTACTTCGGAATAACCAATGTACTAAGTGTTCTGATAATTGAAAGTCAAAATACCTCTGATTTTCTCGAGTCTACGTAGAATAGAACAAATAATGGGTATGACTTTGTTTTGTCATAAGCACACGGTGTGACAGTAATTTTGATCAGTAAGAGTGTGACTAAATACTCCACACTACCTGTCAGTTTTTTCAAAAGTACATTTACTGCCTGGGAATATGTGGTTCAAATGGAGTAAAGGTACTCGTGAACCTCCAGTCGATGCTAGTTGTTAGGGACGCAGTTACATTTGCTGGATGTCACTTGGAGTAAACAGTGACAAGACAGAAATCCTACGAACAGATGGGAGACATCAGCACCTGACAGCATGAAGTTTGTGGTAGCCTAATTCGAATGTTTCGTTTCCAAAGTCTTCCAAGCAATTCTATATCCCTTTCACGCATGAATTTGTTTAGAAAAAGTAATATGCAAAGAAGGCCAGTAAACTTACTTGTAAGTAATTAGATGATGAGACAACAGTAGGTTGAGTCGACTTGTTCGGTTTGATTTTCTTTGTTACATTGATGAGTAACCGCTTCAGTTGTGAAATTACAGACTCCATACAAATCAAGGTAGGTGAACCCCAGTAATGAGGCTCCATAATTATAAGTGGGTTGTCCCATCGCTGAGTTGACTGAGGTCGTTCAAACCTACTTATCATATCCGAAAGCAAACCATCTGGATACCGGTTAATCTATTTTTGAAAAGGACAACTAATATTGCGTGATTATGATAAGAAAGCAAGTTAGGCACCACTTTATTCGACTAATTAATAATAAGAATAGGAAAAAATATAAGTGGTTTTCATTTTGCAAACCATCTGATCATTTACCAATAACTCATTTCAAGTCAATGAAGCACAATGTAAAGGCTGTTGCTGTGATGAATGGGTAAATTGATTATTTGCACTGGTCATTTGCTAAGTACAACAATTAAATAGAATAATAAGCAACAAACAGATAACATTTAAATTTACTTTAGAATTCCATTCTTTAGATGTTTCGGCCGGAACATCACTGAGCAGAACAATGTGTTGGTGTTTATAAGATTTGGCCAGACAATAAAGTTCATATCTGTAACCTTTAATGTAATTAGGAGCATCCATGATTACTACAGTAGACTGACTTCGTGTAAGTGCACGTTCCACCTGTGACAAATAAATAAGACAGACTAGATGCATGTCAAAAATAAATTGTGAAGAATTACTAGGCTTAAAATGTATGTGGTTGGTCTACATTTGCCTAATTTTGTGGTTTATTGACAACGGACTCAATTCAAGCCATTTCACTTTGCTAGACAGTTTGCAGAATTACCAATAAACACTATCCAACTGGTATGACCATAGATTAGGCAAAATAAAGCAGTATAGCGTTACTCATTAGATTCGAGAATACGCAATTATTTGACTACGAGCAATGGTAATAACCACTTTCTTGTGAACGATATTTTTGATGGTGTAGAGTCCTCAGCACGTAATATTGCTAAAAAAATAATTAACTTGTAGCAAAACATTTCCAATAGGAATTATATTAGCAATTAAAAAATGTCAACCAATAAAGAGGTTCAGCAAAATTGAACATAGATAAAATAATTGACTATAACAACTTAGTGGTAGAAGTTCTAGAGTTTAGCACTCAATGACGCAGTTACTGCTGCGATAGAATTTCATACTTCAATAAATCAGTGCGTTCACAGACGTAGGAGTAAATCAACATCCTTGCAACGGCAATATAATAGCAGTTATTCGAGTCGAAAATTACCTTAAGAAAATGACAAATTACTATAATAGTTACAGATATATTAATGATGAAAAGATAATAAATACAAATATCTATGGGGATAGGCATAAGATGAAGGTTATGCAAATTTTTTAGTCATCACAATATTTTCAGATGATTATTTGAGTGTTGAAAACAGCAAGCAATGATTCACTAGATTGAGTGCACACATGTTCCCCTATAACCTATAAAATCAACTTTTAATTATTCATGCATCAAATTTAGTTTAAAAGAAGTGTCATTCCAGACTGATGGGGAGCTAGATAGTTATGTCTTCAGAGACACACACTAATAACATCTTTCTTGATATTGATTACTACCCAGTACGTATAGATCATGGATAATTTCGTAGTTCCTGATTGCTCATGCAATGGTATGTGAAGTGGATTTAGAGGTATCATCCAATGGTAAATGTTGAAATTCATAGATTATGGTTCATAGGTTTTACAACTGAACCAAATGTGACAGCACAAATTACTAAGACTGTACAACTTTCGAAAATAATATATATCATCGAGAGAGAAAATCTTGTTGATTGAACTATCTCTTCTCTTCGAAAGCCACAGAGTAGCGAGTATGAATGCAATGGAGATTCTAACATCATGGTATGAAATGAACAAGCGAGTAAGTTTTTACTTAAGTAGACATCATAGTTGCATAAGTAACACAGTTTTGTTCGGCAAAATTAATGATCAGAGAGTAAACATAGTAGTATTATTTTAAAAGAACAAATATATTCTTACTTCTGATTTGTGTTGACCGCGGAATTCACGTTCTCTTTGTGAATCAGAATAAACATCACATCTTATATCATAACCAGTTTTCCCAGATTCAATATTATTACTCTTGAATTCATCCACAATGATGACAGAGGAATCCGTGAGAATGCGTTTCAGTGATTCAGCTAGTAAAGCAGCAATTGTTGATTTACCTGAACAAGGATATCCGCATAACATGATCAACGGCATGTTTCACAGTTAGAAAACAAACAGTAGACAGACGAATACTACACTGAATTTAATTTAACACTGAAGACACATATTCACTTTTGAAGAAATAAAGTGAGAACTGTAAAGGAAAAGAACAATAGAAGGATTACTTGAAGTAAACAGTGACAATGCGTATGCATGATTTTACACGGAAAAATGCAACTTTTTACACTAAGAGCTCAGACGAGCACTAAACTACTACCTAATTTGAAAACCTTAATTGTTATGAATCTATTTATCGGGGAAAAATAGTGGGAACCATAAACTTCGACATTTAATATGTAAAGCAAGATCAAAGACTGGATACACAAAGTTAATATCACGATTAGGTGACATCGTATCTGTATATGAAGTCATCGAATCACAAATCTTTGCAAATATGAAATTCGATGCAGGCTTATGTACCACACATAATACGTTGCTACGACCTTTCTAAGTCGGAACAGGCAGGAAGTGATTCGAAAGAATGACCGAGCCAACTGGTTGTCAGAAGCTTGGACTGAAAAGACGTGGATACAAATAGCGAAGTCATTTCCCTGTTATTTATGATACTATGACAGTTGCGTACAGTCAAAATATAAGTGATGTCTGCGAATTTCACTAGAATTGAAATCTATCCTACATATGGCTCACTCAGTTCCCACTGGATATCACTTACAGTAAAACTGCCGAACCCATACTTTGTCTCCAAGCGATTAGGTTTCGTCATTTTGTGTCTTTTCCAGAATTCTCAATCCCCTTTCTTTCTCTCTTACTCTTGTCATTAGTGTTTCTCTTTTCATTTTCTAATCACAATAAAAATTATGAAGCGTATTGAGTACGATGAACATATAAACCAGGGTCAATATGATCCAGTCAGGCAGTAAATGACTGAATCAGATACCAGAAATGGTCCCAAGTGCATCGACCAAATATATTCAACCTGCTTCAGGTTCTCAACCACAGACGTGTACTCACTGGTACTACGCACTGCCTTCATTCCTTGACAGCCGCAATGCCAATGAGAGAAATGCGTGCTTTATATCAACATATCGAGAAGTAGGCTCTAGATTCGAAAACAGATAGGAGTGTTAAAACCTATGATCAGGTATCAGGTAGGTGAGTTGTGTACACAGAATGGTGTCTGTCAAAGGACATCCACTCTCTCCATTCTTGTTTCGCTTTGTCACAGATGTCATATGGAGGTCTCCTTCTCATCATATCACTTTATTGGGACTGGTCTTATCACGAGAGACCTCATAATAGACTTTCAGAACGCAGGTGATACGGTCCTGTTAAGTGAAGACCCAAAACGCAAATTCCTACTCCTGGATGAGTTTCCGCCTGTGTCTTATATAATAAATACTAGAGTGATGAGTGACTGAATGTGTTGACCACCTCACTTACTTGGGATGCCTGATGACAAAATCTCCGCATAGGAAGAAAGTGTTCGTTTGGCTTTCTCCAACCTACTGCATTTAAAATATCAGCGTGTTATCCGACTGTCTATTAAGAACCGAGTGTACTACAATTCAGTCCGCTGCGTTCTACGATAAGGCTGTGAAGCGTGGCCATTATAAGTGGATATGAAACTTCAGGTGCCTGACCACTGTCGCCTTCATAGCAAAAGCCATATATCCCTTACTACCTCATATCTGAACCCTACATATAGTAGATTATTTTGTACCTGGAAACCTAGTTCATCCCATAGTTGTAATTCTCTTTTCGCAATCATTTTAACCAGTCAAGAATTAGTAGAAATCTAATCGAAATGCTCCCAGTAGTTACATAGACATTCGTACACTAGGCAATGGGCCACACCCATTGTGTGCAAGCTAATGATACTATCTGATAGCCGAAACTTCAATGGATGAGACGGGGTTCGAACTCGAACCCATCGAGGGAAAGCCAACTACCTAAATCAATGAGCCATAGTTCCACTGAACAATTAGTGCTACATCATGATGAGAAAGAAATGCAATGTTTAAAAACAAAACTTGGAATAAAGTTGGTTTGGGTCAATGTGACAACTAAATCTATGGGTTGTTATTCCCCGATATTTTTAAATACCAAATGTCTGCAAAAAGTCAACACGAAGTCTTAACTGTGATTGCCTGCTTATTTGTATTCATTCAACGGAGTATGTCTCCAATCATCAACATGCTAATGCTCTTTTCAAAATACATACTAATTTTATTTGGAAAAATTATCATGACTTTGGTTCTAACCTGTTGGTTAACCCAATCAATTCACAGGTAAATGGATACGTTATAACTGTACAGACAATTTTTTACCGGTATATTGTTATTATTTGCATAAGTAAGGAAATATTGATTGCTTGCCTTTAGTCACGTGAGAACACTACTTTAAGATTGCTTTCATTAGAAAAATAGATGGATTTCCAAGTGGAAATCCTAACGTTTAACCTAGGTATACTGCTAGGCTTTTAATAAGGTGTGCAATTACATAAATTCCTTATGAAGCTGTGATACACTGAAAGCAATGCCTAGCATGACATCGGAACGAACGCCAACTAAAACACCAACCAGAAAATAATTCAATCTTAACAAGATATAAACTATTTCCTTTGAAAGCCACGAACGTGAAATGACCAAACACACTACAAGTACTGAACTTCTACTTTATAAGGCGGACAATCAAGAAAATCAAACACTGAAAGAAGGAAGACAGATAAATATCCATATACATACCAACAGAAGAATCACACTGTTTGCGTTGTAACCTATCCCATGCACGGACTTTTCGCTTACTAGTTGTATTCAAGCTAATTAACATCATGAAATATAATGCACAGTGGTACTGTTTAATAACTGCAGAGATTAGTTTGACGAAAAAGTTGATTGTCATTTGCTTTGCAATTAGTACAAGAGAAAGTATTCAGTTAACTGGTGTGGAAATAAAACACATACACAAGTTAGTTTTTCGTAACTTCGACGGAGAATTACAAACATTTATCTCTAATGGGTGAAATTCCGATTGTTATTTTCATCTAGACTGATTTCAGTTTAATTCACCATTTTTCTGTAAACACAAATACACACACCACTCACTAAATAGAATTGATAAGCACAATTTAAAGCGAAGAAAGTATAAGACAGATTCGACGAGGCAAAAAAGTATATAACCGATTGCTATGACACTCAATTACAAGGATAACCGGTCACAGTATTCACATGTTTGAGAAACTTCTATCATCAATGACAGTGCAAACAAACAATATTATTGCATGTATATGTGTGCACACTTTTAATCAACACCTAAAAAGGAAACATAATGTTCTTATTCCATTTTTTGGTTTATTAGATTTACCACACAGTGTAACAGTACTGTTTACTGAACTACGTTCCGGACATAATTTATTGTCCATAGTCATACCAAGATAACTACACAACTTTGAGATATCCTTTATATAGTCCTAATTTCCTCACTTCGAAATAGGCTTTGTAGGTTAAAAGATCCTACTGATGCAATTAAGCAGAATAACTTAGTTTACCAAAACCCTTGCAACGGTTGAAAGGTCAAATACATAGGTTAAAGTAGTCGACTAGGGTCAATTAGGCTATCCGAACACAAAAACCTAGCTAGGTCAAAATTGGCAGATCCTAGTAAGGTAACGGATTTGGAAAAATGTTCAGCCATAGCTATGCATGCGATTACACACCACCACATAATAGGATAGCATAGGGTGAAAATTCTTAAAGTTAACATAATAGGGTGAATCTTTGTTTATCGAATCAAAACCTAACACATGCAACAGGAATGACTCAGCGCCTGTTCCGGATATGTGGAAAATCTTACCATCCATATCACAAAGGGGGCGAGGAAATTAGGACTATATAAAGGATATCTCAAAGTTGTGTAGTTATCTTGATATGACTATGGACAATAAATTATGTCCGGAACGTAGTCCAGTAAACAGTACTGTTACACTGTGTGATAAATCTAATAGATCAGTGAATATGGAACTACATCCTACCACAGTGCACAAGTTTTACCGTTATATTAATAAAGTTCTTGTATCATCAATCACTCGACAGATTCTGCATTTCACACTATACATTATCAATAAATGAGCGAATATGTTGCGTATTTCTTCTACAGTACACTCACTAAGGTGCACTCAGCTGGATAATATGATTTCGACTGAAAACCAAAGTCTTCTGAACGTGAAATACAGTTAGGTATTATCTTTCAATCAAATCAAGCTAAATACCCCTATGTTCTATTAGTGATCATAGTTAAAAGCATCACCATAGAGATTACGTGAACGTTTTAGTGAAACGTTCAATCCACTGAATATTACAATGACTAAAAAAATATTAATATCTTTAACAAAAAATATATTTTGTAACGATAATCGTTAGGTAACAAGTCTCGTTAATTTAACCGATATAACTGAAAAAACAGAGATATGGTTAAGTCAGTTAAACACTAGGGTTGGCAAAACCGTGTAGACATTCACTTTTGTAAGTACTTTAATTTCCTTGTCACTAGGTAGAGAATAGATGTATTTCATAGTCTAGTCAATGAATAGATCAACACAAACAGGAGTATATGAACGGAGAAACGAGAGGAATACCACTATAGAAATCGGTTGGGAATTCCAAAAGAATAGGGTTTGAATATAGTCCCACTCTAGGCAAGTCAATTAAATCTGACTTAAACCAGGGATTTACAACCTCCAGTAATTTTTCTTACAGGTATGTCAGGAAAACAAATTGGCAACAGAATATCCATCACACTATATGCAAAAACAACAGAAAGAAAACGGCATATTTGTATAACGAATATATTTCCTGTACATCGGTCTCTAATCAGTATTTTGTACAAACACGCGTTTCATAGGAGCTTATATAGAATACAATGCAGATGAGTATATATTTTAAAAATATGTAAGCGAAGACTCTTATTGACTAAAGTGATTTCGCAATAAGCATACCACTAATCTGGATAGTGATACACTTTGATAGTTGAATCGGCTGAAGAGCTCAAAATATAATGAACAGGTTTTTCGCTTGCAGGTAGGTTGACTGCCGGAGCCCAATCAACATCTGTCACCATATCGGCATGTCCCATTAAA